TTTTTTTGTTTTTTTTTTGAGACAGGGTCTCACTATGTAGTTGAGACTGACCTGGAACTCACTGTGTAGCCCAGGCTGGTCTTGAACTCACAGCCATCCTCCTGCCTCAGCCTCCAGAGTGCTGGGATGACAGGTGTGCGCTACCACGCCCAGTTTAAATATGCTTATTAATGAATAGACCTTAACAATTAAGCTAAAATAGTCACTCATATTCAAAGTGATGATGTGAAATCAATGTCTCCCTTTAAATGGACTTTAAATTATCAAAGTAAATCATACTTAGTATGTTTTTTTAATTAAGTGAAGTTTTGGTATTCTAATTCTTTAAAGAATACGATAATATGGCATCTTTATAGCTCGGTAAACTTGAAAGCCCATTTTATCATTGTGGTGCATTACTGAAAAGGATGATGCAACTGGGAATTTAGTTGCTTAATTACATTCATTTTCTCAATCACTCTGTTTTCCGAGGAAACCATTTCAGGGAAAGAAGCATGAATTGGGAAATGTGTTCAGATCGACTGCTGTGTCTCTTTGTTTCTAGATAACCAGCAAAAGCAAGGAGTCCATCTGGGAGTTCATCAAGAGTCTTCTGGACGCCTGGTCAGGATGGGTAGTGATGCTGCTCATCGGGCTGCTGGCGGGTATGTGGTAGGGTATGCAGTACTCCTGGGCAAAGCTGGGAGGCTAGGATCCCAAACAGCTGCTGTTTGGGAGGATCTTTGGAATATGAAGCATTTATCTTCTACTTGCCATGCAAGGGTTTATTACTTGAAATATCTAAGAGCAAAATACACAGCCATATATTTAGCCTAAAATCTATCATCAAGCCCAAAGCATAGGCTCCTAGTGAGCTATAATTACACAGCTGGTCAGCCCTTCCACATGGTAGGTGCTACGGTTTTTTACCACAGTGGATTTTCCTGAAAATATACCTTTTATATTACCTTATACTTGTTTATGTAGAAGTCAACAAAGTATGGAAAAAATTGATCTCCAATCAGGAAGCACCACATGAAATTTCAGGAGTAGCCCTGGAAACCCACAAAATAGATTGTGAACATCCCGTGGCCCTCAAAATAATGCTAGACACTCACCCACAGAATTTAGGGTGGGCCCAAGGGAAATACCTTCATTTCCTACCTTGTTCTGACTCAGAGCCTCTTTGTCCTTTTATATTCCTGGTGCCATGTTTGTAAACAGTAGATATTTCCAGAGTAAGCACATCAGTATTTGGAGTAAAAGCCTGTCCTTTAAAAAAAATGTACCAGCTCTTTTTAGAGACAGATCCCTGAAACTAATCTAAGGCAGGCAGAACACTAATGGAACAGATAAGATTTTGTGATTGCAGACGATTTTGATTCCTGGGAGAGCTTTCATGTATTCTAGAGATAACTGTGGAAGGGGTTTGGTTACCAGGGAAGAACTCCTCCTGCAGTGTCTACCTCTGCATTCCATAAAGAGCCAAGAGGCTTGCCTGGGGCAGGAGGGCAGAGTCTCTTCCCACTAGTCAGTGGCTGGTTGTGCTCTTCTCCAGTTCTGTTCTTCCTCCTCACTGTCTCCAGTGTAAGACTGCAGCCATCAGGGAGGGAACTGGACTTGGTAGATGCAGTGTTCTGCCATCAATTTCGCATGACTGTTTGTGTGCATCGTTATTCTTCGTTCCTAGGAAGGAGAGATAATGGAGGGGGGAGCGAAGAAACTAATAAGAGATGTTCTGGAGTCTTGCCGGAAAAAACAGCACAGCTTAGATTTATTGACTAATCTAGGGGCCCTATTGGGCTATCTTTAACGCAGCCAGTCTCACTTGCAACCTAATTTCCATCGTTCCTTTCAGGAGGAATCATTTGGGGAATTAAAAAGATTCTCTTGCCCAGGCTTCAATAAAACAGCATTGAATAAAGCCCCATTCCTTCCTTTCCATGATTCGAAAGTGCAGCCAAGGGTGAGAATCACAGTGGAGGCAGATTCCCTGGACACAGCAGATGAATACAACAGGGCAAGAAATGGGAAGACACTGAAAACCAAAGTGGCTTAACAGTTCTTTGGAAGGCAGCTATGCTCACCACTATACCACCAACGCCGCACTTAAATGTTCTTTTGATCTGGACGCACCTTGAAAGGAAATCAGCTCCCCTTCCTTGCTGATCTAGTGGTGGAGAGGATCATGCATCACACTGCCTGGCCAGTCCTTCCCTCAGGGCCCCTTGACCATCTTATTTGTACCCTCTCTGATGGAGCCATCTAGCAGCTTCTGAATAGAATGTTTATCAAGAACTATCACTGGGTGTCACTGTTGCGCCACAGAAGAAAGCTGAGGGCCAACCACAGAACTAGAATTAGCAAGGAAGACTGGATATGAAAAGTGATGAATGAAAGAAAAAGGATGGAATTTTGGGCAATCTTTGAGTCTTGCCACTGAATATCTGTGGGCCCCTCCATCACCTTCTGCAGGCCTTTGTTCAAATATTTTCCATTTGAAGCTTTCTCTGGTCTCTAAAAGCACATTCCTTCCTCTCTGAGCCTGTCCTCCTCACCCACTGTTTGTATTTGTGTATGTAACAGCTTTATTGAACTGTAACTCACATAACACATGACTTACTCATTTAAGTGTACAATGCAGTGGTTTCTAGGGTATTCATAGGAGTTGTGCAACCATCACCGTGATCAATTTTAGAAGAGTTTTATCACCTCTAAAAGAGCCTCTGCACCCTTTAGCTATCAAGTGCCAGCCTCGCCTCCAGCCCAAGACTACCTCACACATCTACTTTCTGTTTCTATAGATTTGGTTAGTCGGAACATTTTATATAAATGTGGTGTTTGTATTGTAGCATGTCAGCACTTCATTCCTTTTTATTGTAAAATATTTTTTATTGTAAACCCTATTTTGTTGATCCTTTCATCTGTCGATGCATAATTGGGTTGGTTCCACTTTTTGGCTACATCGAACAATGCGATCATGAACATTTGTATACAGGTCTTTTGTGGATGAATGTTTTCATTTTTCTTGGACATACAATAACTGTTTAACTTTTTGAGAAGCTTCTAGATTGTTTTCTGAATTGGCTACTTCATTAGAGTGCTGTATTTTCTCTCTAGCACTTATTGCCTTCTAACAGAGCCCCTAATTTATTTACTAAGTTTGGTTAGCATCCCCTCCCTGTACAATGTACAGTTCTATGAAGTCAAGGACTTGGGGCTGCTTTGCTCACTTCTGTGTCCACAGGACATGGACCAGTAACTGGCACACAGTAAATAGGTGTTTATTAAATAGCTCCTGAGCAAATGAATAGATCTGAGTTTTCTGAGTTTTCATTTATTTGCATACTGCCCTCACTCACCGTGGATATATAGTTCTAATCATGTACCTGACATGGATGCGACATGGACAGGGCAGATAGAATCTGTGGCACACCAGGTCTGGCTGCCTGGCCTGATCCCCACTGTGGTACGAAAACTAATCAACAAAGCGTTTCCCCCTACCACTTATAAACTGCTGAAAGTACAAACACGTGTGTGTGCACACACACAAATATACATATTTCTAGCCAATCATGATACCACCATGTATGAGGTATGGTATTGGGGAAAGAACAGGCAGCTACAACCATCATGGGAAGCCCACCTAACTCAGACTTGTGAAATTAGGGAAGACTTCCCAAAAGAGGTGATGGAGATGCCGGACTCTGGAACACGAGTAGGAGATTGCCCAGTGAAGGAGGGCAGTGCTTGCCAGTGTGCACAGGGGACCTAGTATGTTCCAGGAACATAGAGTGGGCATAGCATAGAAAAGGTGGAACTGGAGAGTTAAGAGGGGTCAGCCATCAGGGACAAAGACGTGCTGAGGATTTGGGTGCTCTCCCAAGAACGGGGAAACCATGGCATGGTTTTCTGTAAATAAATGATGCTGGTGGCAAGGATCAGAGTGGCATTTCTGGAATCCTGTCTGACCACAGTACGTAGAAGCCATTATACAGGAGAAAGGTTGGGGCAGGCAGATGAAGAGGAAGCTCTTTCAGCAGCCTAGCCAAAAATGATTCCAAAACGATGGTCAGGATGGCAACAGAGGCTGTGGGAAGGAGGGCAGTGGAGCAACTCAAGAGAGATTTCCAAGGTGGACTTGCAAAGCTGTGGCGATTGTTCAGGGAGCACTTCACTAGGCTTGCAGCTGGCACACATCCTTGGATGGAGGACTCTGCTCAGCTAGTCAGAGCTGAGGTGGGGAAGGAGATGCTGGAGTTGAGCACTGGACGCAGTGAATTGGAGCCGAGATATCCAGTGACCCAAGAGGCACTTAGATTTGTGTCTTATGACAATTCTTGGTCACTGATTTTGTCTCTTTGTGGCTCTATTAAAAAGGCTTGTGAGAGTGAGTCTAGCAGAATGGTCGTGATGAATTAGTGGTGTCTGACATGGGCATGTCAAAAGGTTGTGAAGGTGAATCCAAAAGACTGTCACAGTTGATTGGTTGCGTTTGCAGTGGGCATTGAGGCTGGTAGCTGGGCTGTGTAGTTATTCATATCCTTCTTTTTGCTAGTGGTGCACATTTGTAGATAAGTAGCAAACAGAAGGACACAAATAGGGTTGGTGAGGTTGAGAGCACAGTATACAAAGAGAAAATGGTTTAGGGTTAAGCTTTGAGGAACACCTTTTAGGGGGTGGACAGTGGAGTAGGAATGATCAGGAGAGACAGAGGAAACCAGGAGAGTTTAATGATGTGGAAGTCAAAGGAAGAGGTGTTTCCAGAAGGAGAGTGACCAGCAGTGTCTAATGCTGATGGGAGGCTTGAAACTGGGGATGGCAAAGTTTTTCTGTAAAAGGCCAGTTGAGTAAATATTTGCACCTTTGTTAGCCATGCAGGTCTTTTCTCAACCATTCAGTGTTGCACTGTAGCATGAAAGTAGCCGTGGTCAGTGCAGAACTGAATGGTAGAGTTGTGCTCCAATAAAAACAGGCAGAGGGCCGGATTTGCCCTATGGAATGTGGCTTGCAGATAATTTCCCAGAAAATGACTTCTGAGCACACAGGCCCTTGCTCTTAGCTACGTGGAGTTCTCTTGATGGAGGGAGGGGAAGTGAGCTTGCGAAGGAAAGAGATAGGATGGCCCCTGGTGGTGGTGGTGGGAGGAGTGGAGAGGGCTTGTATTGTTTTAAATGCTGATGGGAATGAGCAATCACAGAGGGAGGGGTTGAAGATACAGGAGGGAGGGGGAATTGTAAGAACAAAGGACCTGAGCAGAGGAGGAGATCCAGGCTGAAGAAGGGAAGGGTCCTTGTGACAGCTACCAACTGCAGAGGGGAAAGAATGCTAAGGTGAATGTGTTGGTGATGATGCAGGATGACTACTGATTACAGATTATAGAAAAATTGAGCCTGAAAACATGCCCTGCCTTCGTAACAGGCTACAACAGCTGGTTCTCGAAGACACACGGAGTTTCCTGTGGCCCACTCAACTATGCTTTCTCTTTTTTCCCACTTCTTCTAGCCTTTAAATTTTTGTTTTTGTTTTTACAGATGCCCAAAGCCTTTATGTATAATTTTAAAAGTTCAGAATGTTCTAATGAAGAAGGTTTCCTCAAGTACAGTACCCATTTGGTGGCAAAGCTTTGCTCATTTAGAACCTGAGGCTGTGAGTGTTCCTGTGCCTCCATTTAGTCCACGTCATCATGTTTTCTTGAGAAACATCACTATGTGTGACCTCAGGGTCCTGCTTCAGCAGCCAGAAGGGGTTCTGTCCTTCACGGTACATTTTCCTATTTCAAACACCTGGAAAGGGAGGAATGACCAAAGGCCCTCAGCTCCAGTGGCTTGAGAGAAGAGGGTAATGCTTATATTTCCCTTATCTGATTTAAGCCACTGAACTCTTCTTGCTCCCATCGAGCTGGACACTGCCATGCCCACACTGTAAATATCCACGTGACTTGCGAGTGAATAAAAGAAGCTTCCCATGTTGGCTGCAGCCCCCTGGCATGCTCGCAAGTCCTGGTAGCTGCTGGGTGCCTGTGGCGCCTTGTGCTGGGGATTTTTTATCTGCAAACTGCATTCATCTGAGGGCTTCGATTTTTCTTTTAGGCACCTTGGCTGGTGTCATCGATCTTGCTGTTGACTGGATGACCGATCTGAAGGAGGGTGTCTGCCTGTCTGCCTTCTGGTACAGCCATGAGCAGTGCTGCTGGACGTCCAATGAAACCACTTTTGAGGACAGGGACAAGTGTCCTTTGTGGCAGAAGTGGTCGGAACTGCTGGTGAATCAGTCAGAGGTGGGCATCTGCATAGGGTCTTGGCTGGGGTTCTCTGCTGGTTTGCAGTCCTGGAGCACCTGTGGTGCCACCTCTATGAGTACTCCCTGGCTTAACACTAGTGTGTCTTGTTTGCTCCAGCTCTGATGCTGCTACTCATACTTCAGGTGGAAAGGCTCCCCTGCTGTTGCATGTGTACCACATGCACATGGTATTGTCATAAGCCTTGTGTTTGGCGATTTCTTACTAAAGGTGGTTTCTTGATCATGCTGAGGAACCAGAGTTGCTTTTATACCTTCTAATTAAGGAGAAATATGTTATTTATATGATCCTTCCATTAATGTGTACAAGTCAGTGGTTGTACAATCTAAGTTTAGAACACTTTCATCCCCTCCCCTTGAAAACAACCACACCCATTAGCGGTCACTCCCTTGTCCTCCCAACATGCCAGCCCCAGGCAACCATGTATCTACCTTGTCTCTATAGATTTGCTGCTTCTGGATATTTTGCATAAATGGAATCATGTAATGTGGACTTTGTTTCCTTTAGCGTATTTTCCAGTTCCTTCATGTTGTACGTAGCATGAATCAGTATTTCCTTCCTTTTCATGGCTGGATAAACTTCCATTCTATGGATAGGCCACATTTTATTTATCTGCCCATCAGCTGATGAACATGAGTTGCTTCCACTTTTTGACTGTTTCGAATGATGTTGCTATGGACATTTGTGTACAAGCTATTTTTCTGGGCATATATTTTGTTTCTCTTGGGTGTAAATGGAACTGTGGGGTCAAATGGGAACTCTGAGTTTAACCTTTTGAGGAGATGCCGAAATGTTTTCCAGAGCAGATGCACCATTTTACGTTCCCACTAGCCGTGTGTATGAAGGTTCTAATTTGTTCTCCTTCTCGTCAACCCTCATTAGTATCTGTTTTTTATTAAAACAGTGCTAGCGAGTATGAAGTGACATCTCACTGGTTGCAGTCACCATCTCCCCATTGCATTTTCTGATCACATTAGAGAAGATGTTCCTAGGACTCCTATGAAGACAATGTCTCCTATACAGAGAATACAGTGGTGACCTATAGATCTAGTGCATCCTTCATGGCAATTAAAGCTTCAAATCTTTATAGAAATCTTGGCTCGGGAAAGGGTTAACTTCTATCTGAATTTAGTGGTTACCCAGTGGTTAGTGTCATGGATGGATCAGAAAGCCAGGCAAGGAAAGCTAGGTGACTAAGCTTCAGATTAAGGGTAATGGGAAGACTGTTCTCGCTAGAACTGTGCTTGGAAGATCTATGTAATCTATTTATATATCTCTTTTCTCCCCCACATTTTTTTCTGACTGATGTACCACAGCTGAAGACATTTGGAATGCATCTCACTATTTTGCTAAACCTCAGTGGAATTAAAAATGTGTTCCTTCACATCAGAGAAGTAGATCAGGATCTTGAAATCTCACAGTGCTGTCCATTACTTCCAAAAAGAAATTCTCTACTTGGGCTGATGGGAATGGGCAAGCTGAATTGGCTGGATGCCATATTTTATTTCTTCTCTCCTACTTGCAATATGTGTTTTTTTTGCGGGGGGGATATGGTCATTTATCTTTTCAACTGGTTTTGAGATTTATACTTCTATTCAAAGCATTAGTGTTTCCAAGAGTGAGAAGTTATGTTTAGTCTCCAAAAAAAGTACATATCGAACTGGGTAGAAGGTATTCCTCAGCCCAATTTTTCTCCATGTAGGGTGTAAATATGTATGTGTTTGCAGCACTATCTCCAGGAATGTGTTTTTACATTTAATAAGCACACATGTGGCTCGGCCATGGCCTGGCTTGTAGGTGATCTTCCCTCCCCTCCTTGACTAATCCAGATGGCCGTAAGAAGCTGAGGCCTAGAGAAATGAGGTCTTCACTCAGCAGATCAGGTCCTTGACCTGGAAGACCCTAGACTGTGTGTTTGGTTCAGGAAACACATTCTCCACAGATCAGACCATTTGGAGTAAATGACTCAGTGAATTATCCAGAAGGAGACAATGAAGCATTCCCCTTACTAGTGCCTCTCAGATGTCTGTGTGTGTCCGAATCTCCTGGAGGGCCTGCTGAAACACTGAGCTGTGTCTCAGCCTGCAGTGTCTGATTCAGCAGGTCTGGGGTGGGGCTGATGGTATCTGTGTCTAACAGGTGATGCTGATGCTGCTGAACCACAGACCACACTTGAGGAGCCAGACACTTGAGGAGCCAGGCTCTAAAGCACAGTTCCAATGCTGCTTTGTTGGTGGTGAGGTTGCTTGCTGTGGTGCGGGTGTGGCCGTAATGCAAGCCAAGGATGACCAACCCCCCACCCACCGCAGACAACACAAACCAAATCTTCCAGAGTCTTGGGGGCAGAGTTTTCTGCGTCACACCTTTCATTAACTCTAGTGCAAGTGGTGATTATACATCCCACCCCCGCCCCGCCCTGCATCATCCAGGGTTTTCATTACTGCTCAGATTCACCTGGTAGAAGGTCTGTGTAAACAGCTGCTGGTGGAAGACCCAGTGCTGTGCTGTTTGTGTGTAGTGACTGTATCAATAGCAACAGCTGATAAAATCCACACTGGTCTCTTTGTTTATGCAGGGCAGGGACAAACCTGCTCAATCCCATCAAAGCTTTGCTTTTCTGGTGGAGGGGTGGGATTGGTTATGTTGTTTGGGTCTGCAGTGGCTCATATTTTCTTCCTTGTTTTGTGTTTCTTGTTTAGGGTGCCAGCGCTTACATTCTGAATTACTTAATGTACATCCTGTGGGCATTGCTGTTTGCCTTTTTGGCCGTCTCACTGGTGCGCGTATTTGCACCATATGCCTGTGGCTCTGGTATACCAGAGGTGAGTTGTGGTTGAATTTCTTCTGTACCAATAATACAAATAGTAAATACTTCCATAGTATTGTTGTGCCAAGCCCAGTTCCAAGCATTTGGTATCTGTTAATTAATTTGATCTTCACAGTGAGGTTTTGAGGTGAGCTGCTATTAGTCTTCATTTAATAGTTGAGGAAACTAAAGCACAGACAGGTTAAGGAACTTGCCCAAGGTCACCAAGCTGGTAAGCTTCAAGTTGAACCCAGAAGTCTGACTGCGGGATTAGTATGCTGTATTCAAGATTTTTGCCCTGTTGCGTCTCAGATGATTAAACCGCTGTCTTTGGAAACCAGGCTTAACTCTTAAAGCCTGTGGAATAAGAATTCATTAACCACCCACATAAATGTGGCACTGCAATAACTCATAAGTGCATCTATGATGTAATGTGAACAAAGTCAACAGTGGAGGATTGTTGCTGAGAAAGTTTACTGGTGACCAGACTCCTTTGCCACATTTTGTAGGTAATAGTGATCTTTAACAGATTAATTCCACTTCTGGTACATGCACTAAAAATGGACCCCTGTGGATTTAGAGTTCTTGTAAATAAGTTTCAGCACTTTCATGTAACCAGCGTCTGAGGGAAGTGACCTCATCAACCTAGAGGGATGCCTGAGACTGAATTTCAACCTGGGAGAACCTATGGGCACAATAATGATAACTTTTTTTTTTTTTTTTTGGTATCGGGGGATTGAACTCGGGTCCTTGTGCTTGCAAGGCAGGCAGCGGAACCACTGAGCTAAATCCCCAGCCCAGCACAATAATGATAATCGAGCTGATTCTCGAAAAGGCCCAGACAACACAAATTTTAGCTGGAAGTCAGGATAAAAGTGTTTGTATTTTCACTCCACTCAATGCAGTTCAGTTCTCCTTTGGGTCAGGGCTGCGTCAGCACTCATAGGCAGTGGAGAGAGTGAGTGTGAGGATGGAGTTACGGGCCGATTATGGCAATAGATTGACACCCTTTTTGGTGCTTTCTGGCAATGACCCTGGTCCAGGCAGTGCACAAAGAGGGATGGAATAATTAGAAGATGGACACAGGAAATATTCTACTTGGTCTTATTTCAGGAAAGTTATTATATCATGCTGAATTTTTGATGGTTTATGTTAACATACTGTTTCAGGAACCCCTAGAACAAGCTATATCACCGTCCTGTTTCCTAAGTACAGACAGTCCTGCTAGGATGGGCCATGTGCACTCTAAAATATCACCATGCTCTGCAAAATGGCACAGTAAGACTCACATGGCTAGTGGGCAAAATGGACTAGGGAATACAATGCTCAAAAACTTCCTCAGTGAAAGGGCCGGGGATTTAGCTCAGTGGTGCTGCTGCTTGCCTCGCAAGTGCAAGGTCCCAAGTTTGATCCCCAGT